CTATGAAGGAGACAACTGAGGTGATCATGCACATTGTACTGCCTCAGTCAACTCCTACCACCTCCACTTAGCCACTGACCAAATGTCACCTTAAGCACACTTCTGTGCTCAGCCCTCCACTATTATCCCACTGTTGACCATCTCCAATGCTCCTCCATCCCAATACTGGTGCCCTGTCCTTTCACAGCTTTTTCCTAGTGACCAACCCTATAGCCACAGTCTTCACCCAGTCACCTTCCTTCCACCTTCCAAAATCCTCTTCGCTCCAAGGCTCATCCCAGTGACCCACAGCTCTATATTCCAAATGACCCTCCACCCTGGGAATATGACAGTCCTCCTACCTCTGCTCTTTAGCTCCTTTCTATATCCATCAGTGTGCAGTTTCCTTATATTCCTATTGTACCCGGGCACCTAAACACCTCCAGCAACTCTCCTCAACTTAAAACTCAGTCCTCGTGACTTCAGTGACCATCTGCAGCCCCAAAAATGCAACATCCTGAGGACCCTTCCAAGAGCATCACTTCAGTCCCTCTCCTGGCTGCGCTGGAGGCTGTGGGTGAACAAAGGCATGTGCAGAGCATGTATGAGCAATGTGGGGTTTTTTTTCTTTAATAAACAGTCAACTCATCCACTCTACAAGTTAATTCATTTCTGACATGCTTCTGTTTCATGGAGAATTTGAGAGAGCGCGTAAGTGAAGATGAGGCTGGTCAAAAAGGATGGGCTTGGCGGCTGCCACCAGCATGGCAAGGTGCTGCACGGGGAGGCGTGGCACAGTGAAGGCAAGAGCAAGGTCATCTACGGAGAAGGTTTTTCAGGTGACTGCTGCCCTAATTAGGGAAGGGCCACTGCGAATGGATTCAGCATGCGATGGATGAGATAGCCTGATTGTGTAGGAGCTCCTCCTTCCCTCTAAGCAGGGGCATGTCCTGATGATACAAAAGGCAAGAATGTTCCTCGGAGGAAACCTGCCCTGTGAAATACTTGCTCTCTAGCCTGGGTTGAGGTAACTGTTTCACCCAAGGCAATGCAGTAAAGGAGGGGGGCTCAGTATTTAAGTCATACCCTTGGAGGGAAGTCTGTCAAGGAGCCCAAGAGCTCCATGCTTTGGGAGCAGGTCACTGCACACCATCTTTACTGAGGGCTTTTGCCGTATGTCGTTTGCTCACTTGCCCACTGCGTAAGAGGTCTTTCTGGGTGCTGAGTTGGAGCCCTGCAGGCATCTGACCAAGTTTATGACTTCTCATACACTTGCTGGAGGGGTGCTGGCCTTTACACTGGAGCACTAATGCTCCCAATGCAGTCTCTACCCAGATTTCAGTAAACGTTTCTATCACAAGCAGCTTCTGCTTTGCAAGAAAATACCCCTTTGGCTTTCGGCATCAATCCAGAGAAGTCAACAGGTAGCTTGTCCAAGCTGCAGGAAGTGTCGAAGGAGAGTGAGAAACCGGGTAGAGGGGAATGGACATATAATTTGTTCCTTGCCTCTTTACAGCTACTGAAATAGGTGAACAGCTCTGGAAAAGCTTATTGCAAAGATGTGCAGTTTTCTTTGGAAGACCATAAAGGAAAAAACCTGCAAGTTGTAAGAATATATATATATGGGACGTAAAGGAGCAGGCTGTTGCTATATACTCTAAATATGAAAAAGGAGGTGAATAGAGAGATCCTAACCTTTTTGCTAAAAGTCTTGAAAAAAGCCACACAAGGCAGAAATGCAGCAGCATCGCAAAGAAACATCATATGGAAAAACTCCTTGGAAAGAGCTGAGTGCTCCTCTTCCTTTAATCTGGAGTTTCAGTTTGGAAATAACATTATACTGAGGCAACATGATTGGTTTCAAATTGTACTTTTTTCCCTCTCATACTTATTTTTTAAAATTAGTGTAAAATCTCCTGTGACTCCTGTGCTTACTTACTCTGTAAGTCCAGACATTTTCATTAATATTGGCAAGAGACTGATCACAACAAAAAAAAAACCGCAACCACTACCTTCCTCCTTTGCCATTCAGAAGCGAGACAAACAACAAAGTAGATGTCAAGAAAG